TATTTAGGCCCCTACATTACCCAGAGCTTCGGAGGCACTGGCGTCCTGGAATTTTCGGGACTTCCGCTACAGTAAACACCCTGTAAACTCCTGAGAGAATGATTGGCGCAGACAAGAGAAATCTGAGAAATCGTTCATCGACTTGGGTGCAAGAGTACTTTCAGGCTTCCCCTTGCGTTTTCTTTTGTCCACGAAGACCAATGGAACTCAAGGCATTTAGTGCTGGTCAATATCTTGCAGGATGCCGTTCTAGCGGCGTTTGGATTTCTGCCCCCTTCTGGGGAGTTTGGGCATGTGCGACAGGACTGGTGCTTCTGCTGTTGGACATTTTGGCAGATTCGTATCTTCATGCAAAGCCCGGCATCCGCTTGTGAAGTCGTGGACCTCTCCTGACCGAGTCTGAAACCCAGCCCAAACAGAACCATCGAAGTGTAAACAAAGCCCTAAGTGGGCGAGCCCCAAACTGTCGACCTGGACGGGAACTAAACCACCGATGCTCACGCACCTTCAGCTTCCGGTTTCTTGTGGGGCTCTGTAGATGTGCGCGTATAGCAGGAGATTGCAGGCCTACATTCAGGCCGGAACCAACATCCTCAGCCCGGCATCTCCACCACCGAGGCCGCAAAGAACTTCTCCCAAAGCTGATCACCACCGTCGGCAAAGGAGCGCGCCAGGTTCTCATACCTACCACACTCAGTCACCACAACCTTCGTCAAACTCACACCTCTGCGACGTGACAGCACATGCCGGTGCTGCTGTTTACTTGACTCTACACCGTCCAGCTCTGCAGATCAAACGAGACGTTCCCTTTTGAGGATGGCAGCTTTCAGTACCTCAATCAACACAGAATGTCCATTAAGGAGGCTGGAGAATCAGAGGCAGGCTAAAAGGGTGATTGTTTTGCCACCAGCTCATCCTTCTCAGCTTCCAGTGGGGCTTACGGCGACGACAGAAAGTCTGCACCAGCAAGACCATCGAACTAGACTCGACCCTCCCAATTCCCATGCCGCACCTGATTCCTACGACGCTTGCTCCCGCCCCCCTCTGCTTGTTGACAGAGCCTCCTGTTCGTAAGCGCCTGCAGTCCGAAATCTGCGCGTGCAGAGTATCCCGGCCGGAAGTCGCTTAAGACCTCGTTGAGCAAATGCCCTAGATTGGAGCATGAACTCGTACCGGTTCCAAGGGTGAGATTTGCAGGTTTTGTGCCTCTTTGGGTCTACAGAGCGAAAAGGACAATGTGCAGTAGCGGTTTTGGGCCCTTGGACAACCCAGAAGGGCCAATACGCCTTAAAGAAAGACTATTCCTTAAATTATCGGGTTTTCTTTATATTATGATTTAATGTATATTCCGTAATTAAGGTGGCAATCCGCAAGCTTTACCCAATCGATCAAGCCAGGCAAGCCCCGAAAATCTAAGCCTGTTCAGCCTCTGCAGAGCAATCGTTGCCAAGTCTTGCAGGGTCTAGTCTAGGCTGGACAAGCTGTAGAAGTAGAAGTAGCAGTAGCAGTAGAAGCAGAAGTAGAAATCGAAGTGGAAGTGGTAGTAGAAGTAGAAGTAGAAGTAGAAGTAGTAGTATTAGCAGTAGTAGCAG